CCATGATAATGGCAAAAACATTTGCTAAATAAAACTTTGCTTGCGTGTTGCATAATTTTACCAAATTAACATTGTACTTTTAATGATAAGCAAAATTGCTTCATCTTTGGCAAAATATTGTCATAATCTAATAAATATTTTTACTACAATTGTTACCGTAAAGTTACTGTAAAGTTATTCTACTACAGTTTGTGTGTTCCTTCGCTTGCAATACTGCATCAAAAATGAAGACTCATCTTATTGACAAATTGCTTGCAATTTTTAAGCAAATTTTCAACAAAATGTTATCTGAAATGTTATCTGAAATGATGATGCAAATTGATGTATATTGTACAGATTGACATGTTGTATTATTTATACATAGAATATCCAAAAAAAAGAGATTAAATTAATATATCTATTAAAGAAGTTGAATAAATTTAAAAAGTTTATATAAAACCATATCCAAAAATGCTATTAGAATATTATAAAATTCTATTCAAAGAAAATTCTATTATAAAAAATTATAAAAGATCAGTAAGTTAATAAAAAAAGAGAAATAATCTTATTTTCAGTCAATTTATGATGTAATATCCAGCTTTAATTTATGATTACGTTGTAAGTCTGATAAATGAAATCAGCTTATAGAACTATATATAGAAAAACATATTTGTTTGGCATGAATATTATTAAGCACCAAGATTCGATCAAAAATAAGATTTTTTTTTATTTAATTTATTCTTATCAATAAATTTCATTGTGATTAATCAGTGATTTGCTAACGAAATAATTCTCATAGATTATTACATAATTTCTTATACATATAATTTCTGATCTCGGTTATTTATTGATCTTACACAATTTTTAATATTATAAATAAATAAAGATAATTTAGAAATGGGATAATAACTGACATTTATTTTAATTTAAGTATAAGTTTTGTTATTTACTTATTTATTCTTCATAATTTTTTAATAAAAGTGTTTTCAGATACGGATTCATTTAACTATTAACTATTAACTATTAACTATTAACCAATTATATATACAACGAATGCCCCGCAAATTTTTGCCAACGATTTTGTATAGATACGGCGAACTAAACTGAATCGAAAAGCCTTCTATCATTTTGCAATTTTTGTAATGAACGAATTAACGAGATATTAATTACTAAAAATCGCTGAATATTGATTCTATATTGGAATATTTGCCATTTTCATATGGCCTCGGCAAGAGATAGACTTGCTTCTCGTAAAAAGAAAAATATCTAGATCTTCTTCTCCTGTAAGAATTGTATGTAAATCAAATAGGTAAATCTCTTAGAGCTTCTCAGTTCTTTCAGAGTGTGTTTTCTGAATCTCCAAATATTTTTTTTGATTTTATAACTTTCTCATGAATATTTTTTTTTTTGGAATGTGAAGTTAATCAATAATATTTTAGCAATAAAACTGTTATTAATTGTTTCCAGTTCACACAAGTATATATAAATATATATAATTATGTATAACTATTTATATATATGTATGTAAAATTTCTTATTGATCGATCTTATAAGGTCGATTTAAATGAAAATGATAGATCTTGCTCGGTTTTTGCTGCCAATCAAGTTATGTCAGCAGACTGCTCGATTTCTGCTTTCAGTTCTGTCAGCAGATTCTGTTTGATTTTTACTGCCAGTCTGTTTACAGATGGTAGTTAACAGGTTCTGTCTGCAGAACAGGAGCAGAATGCGACATTAATTGTGATCAGATCTGCTAACATCTTCTGATCAAATCTGCTACTAATCTGTTGACATCCTGCTAACATTTTGCTATCTGGGATATTATGTAACCTTAATTATTATATACACCGATTTGACATACTTTACTTGGCATACTTTATTGGAAGAACATTTTGAGGAAGACATTTGGAAATGTATGCTCTGTAGGAGTATACTGATTTTGCAAAATTTTCTCTTGCAAAAATATAATCAAATACATTGTTGATATTAATTTTTAATATACAATATTGACAAATAAATTTGTAATTAAAATTTTAAGCAAAGTCATTTTACATAATCAATACAATTAATAAAAAATAATAAATAAATAAAAAATAAAATTTAAATGTTTGAAGGTGGCTCAATAATACAAATATAAATAATAAGGAGCATACAGCTATGACAACAGATGTTAAAACGAAAATAATATATTTATTATTATTATATAAGAAAACAATAAAAAATTACAAACAAATTTATTAATTAAGAACGTAAGATCACTAGTCAAAGAAGTGTTAATACAGTATCAAGATGACAAAAAAAGAAGTGCATAATATTAAAAAAATTATCGCAAGTCAATAAGATAATAACAAATTCTTTTCCTTTCCAATCGCTTGTTGTATGCGTTAATTGAATAAGATAAAGTTCAGAGAATGAAATTTATCAACAAATATATATTAAAAAAAGGAAAAAAGAAAAAAAATTTTTTTAATAACGCATCGACGATTAATATGTTCCGTTTATAATTTCTTTTTTATGGAAACAAAGAATAACTTCGTGAGAATAGAATTTCCAGATTCTATTTAAAAATTAAGGAAAAGAAAAACGCTTTTTAATAATTAAAATATTTTTGACAGTACAATTAATTATGAAGATCAATCTAAATTCACATTAAAGCTCGCTTATCACGTATTTTTTTTAACACAAGTCCTCACAGATGTAACTCTGAGTACTTCAATTTAAAAAAATCGAGAAAAATCTGAACAAATGGTAAGAACCACTGCTGACAAATTTTTTAGAAGATCATAGCTCGTGAACAGAATTTATATAGGGTGAAGGGAAAGAAGAAAGTTAGTGGAGAGGGTAGTCTATGAGTGAGTAGAGGGGATTTTTCCGATGATTGGTAAGTAGATTTCAGGAAAGCATTCTGTGTCACTTTGTTTGTTTAAGCAATTATCTTGTCGTTTAATATGGATCATTTCGGACCATCCTTTTATAATAAGATTTTATAATAAGATGTTCTGAATCGAGAATACTAACATTTTTTCAATCAATTGTATCATGATCATGATCAAATTTGTGACGAAAGATAACAAAGAATTAGTAGGTTTTTTAAAATCATTTATGTATTCTTTTAAACGCGTCTTTAATTTTCTTTTTGTCTGTCCTACACAAGAGTAATTGCAATCATGACAATTAATTTTATAAACAACATTAGAATGTTCTTTTTTTGATTTTATCTTTGCCTGTTTTAATGAAATTGTTCATACAATTCATTGGTTTATAAGCTTATATTGAAATCGAATTTTCTTGTAATGAATTTGAATTTTTCAGAGATTTTATAGAAATACGGAATGATAAAATACTTTTTAACAATCCTAGAGGAATCTGAGTCAATATCTTTTTTTTCTCTGATGTTTTCAAAATTGTTTTTGGATGACAACGCCTTGATCCTGTTGTTAGTAGTTTTAAATAAAAATTGGATATCCATTATTTTGGAGAATATTGATTAGGGAAATAATATTATTCTCATGGAATATTGAATAGGAAAGGAATAGAATTCTGTCTAATTACCCAATTACAACACTCCTTTTGTGTTCAACAGGATGATTAGAAAAGCAGTTTAAATATCTTCCAGAATTTGTAATCTTTCTGTTAAATCTAATTGTTAAAAATAATTCTCCTATTTTCGATTAACAGTTTTACATCGAGAAAGTTTATTATTCCGTTATCACCATATTCGTAAATTTGATTTTTTCATGATAAGAATTAAAAGAGCATAAGATTGTATTAATATGCTCGTTAGGAAGTGCAATGATGATGTCATCAACATAGCGATAATAGAGTGGAACATGTATGACATTGCTAATGTCTTAAAAATGCTACATTCCAAATCTTATATCATCAAATCCGTTAGAATTGGAGAGAGAGGAGATCCCATAGGCAGACCGAATATTTGTTCATAAATTTCGTTATTGAATTGAAAAAATAATTTCGTATAATTATTGTTAACAAGAAAGAAGGAGATTTCTAATAATAATTAATTAATTCTAATAATATTTAATTAACAATGATTTAATTATATTTAATTACAGATTGTTTTGCATAATGAAATAATTTAATATTCTAACAAATATGATAATTATACCAAATATGATAAGTATAACAATCAATTATTACATAATAATTGTTATAATAAATTATGACAATTTAATATTATAATATATCATATATTCAAGTATAAAAAAAATAATTGTGTGTAATTGAATAATATTTAATTTTTAATAAAAATTATCATTTGCACTAAAACACAGTATCATCTCCAAAAGAATACGAAGATACGAGTCTTCTTAAGAAATTATTTTCTATTGCTGAAATTGTGAGACTGCCAACTAACAATGGAACACTATGGAAGATGATGTGCATCGTGACTCGCTCTTGCACGATTTATATTCAGTACGAAGTATTGCGTATATACAGGTGCAGCAGGTCGATGACCATGCGTACTGTATGCGCCAGGTGCGTAAATATGTGTGCGATGACTTTGCACTACTTATCTCGATCATCATGCTCGGCACGTCATCGCCGATCTTCCATAGAAAAAATTCTCAAGACTCTCGCAGATGTCGTTGCACAGCAGGGATTTATCTTTGTGTCGTATTTTGTGCGGCAAAAATTTTATGATTTTAACTTTTCTGACAATCGTTAAAAAGTTGTTTCTAAGTTGTGCAATACGTTCTTGTCATCCGAGATGCATGTGATAAACTGTGCAGAGATCTTATAAAAATCAGAATGAAATAAATATAATATAGTATATAATAAAGTAGTATAAATCATGTGATAAAATAAAGTATAATAATACAAAGATATTATATAATTTTTACAATTAGTATAAAAGAGAATTCAATGATAGAAAAAATAAAATATATCATGGTGTTTAGTAATAAAAATTTGACTAAGTGTGACATATATAGGTAGGTGTAAAATCAGAAATTATTTTGTATTTTGTTAAAAATGAGAAAATAAAAAATCGTTGCTTTTAATTGAAAATATTTCTTTTTTTTCATATATATTCTATTACATTTGACATGTAAACATGGCAATTTTAGCTTCAGATAACAATAATATATTCGACAAAAAGGAGAAATGTTTCCTCGAAATATAAATAAACGAAGAAACAAACATCTCAATCAAAAAACGCTTGTATTGTGCACATGGAGATGTGCAATCCAATTACGCAATTATTATCGGTTGATTATTCATTAAATCGCTATCTAAATAATTTATACCAATTTTTGTTAGCGTATTTTTCTTTTTACTGCAATCCACACTCTTTTAAAAATACATATACATTTATAATAGTAAAGTAAAATTTATAGTAATAAATTTATAGTAGTAAAGTAAAAATATTATAATTATGTAGGATTATTACAATGATTACTAATACGCTATTTCTTGGACTTTTACAAAATTGGCTCGAATAAAGCAATTATATAGGATAATAAATAAGTTTTCAACAATAGAATTATTAATAACTCTAATTTTATAACGATTAAATAAATATTTATAATTTTTATATATAACAAAAGATAATTCTATATTATTGATCAAATTTCGTTCCATCAATACTTTACTTCATTGAAGATTATTCTAAATTACAGAAATCATTTTATCGAGCAAATAATGTTAATATAAAAAAATGAATACTCCATATTTTTCTTTTTCTCCCTTATCCACTCTTCTTTTCTACTTCTATCTACATTTGTTTTTAATTTTATTCGTATCTTATCTTTAATTCTACTATTTTTATTTTTCAATCCAAATTTTTGGAAAACTGTTCCTCAAATGAGAGCTTTACTGAGGCATGTTAGTAACAACACTGTCGCGATCTCTATCTTCATGAAACTGGCAAAATTCCCGATTCTGGGCGTCAAGCTCATCGTGTGATCTTTGTGATCAATACGATTGATGTGATCCATATGATCCATGTGATCCATGTGATCCATGTGATCTCTATGATTGTATATCGTCGTCGTGGTATACGTTGAATCGCAAACTGTGCCCATAATGAGTTGCTCAGTTGATCCCATAAGTATCCTAAAGTTATAATCACGTAGGTCCAATTGCGAGTACATGAAGATGGGCAATCTGTCGGAGAGAATCCACAAGTTGCCATTCTGATCGATCTATCGAAATAAAAGAAAGATTATGACACGATAATAATAACATACATAATATGATAATAAATAATAAACATAAAATTAACAAAGGAAAATAGGTAGTTATGGAAATAGATGAGAAGGAAGGAAATGTCACGAAACTTGTCTATAGATATAAGCATCAAAAGCTTCCAGCCGATAATAATAATTGTATTATATTGTTTAGAATCTTAACAAATAAAAATCACAATATAAAAGTAAATAATATATTCTAGTATTTAAAATATTATGTTGATTATAATAAAAATTTTATTAACTTATAAACTAAAAAACAGGTAGACAAAAATCATCGTGAAATTATATGTTGATTGGAAATTTTTGGCAGCCATTGTAATTTACGGTTCTAAAAGCGATTGATCAAAATTAATTTATTATAATCCGCTTAGACTATAAGTAGCTCATTAGTGTTAATTAGTGTTTATTGCATTGTCATAAAAGCTGTGTATTTCAGTTTTACAAGTAGCAGACAGTTTTATAAATATGTACTCATTCATCACGTAATTTTGAGAAATATATTAGTATTAATTTTGTAACTTCAATCTAACTTATGTATTAGTTAATTAATATTCTGTATGTATTCTTCTATTTCATAACAACAACTTTTTTTCCCTCTTCAGTTTTTTGTAAATTACTTTACATATATCTGAAGAACTTCTATCTATATAATTAGTATCACTCTATGACTAATAAATTTGTAGAAGTAGTTATGTTGCATAAGTATCTACTGAATGATTTCAATAAAATGATCCTTCTTGTCGTCTTTAATACAATAAAGAAATAGAGAAAAAAATCATACATCAGACATTTTATTCATAATTTCACAAATAATGAAGAATATGTTCGAGGAATATGAGAATTGCATTTTGCCGAGCTATCGTTGAAATAACTAATCACAATTTGCCTATTATTTTTATTTTTCAAAAATAAAATGGGTAATTATTCCCATTTTATTCCCATAATTACAAGTCATACTTTTCTGTTTTCTTTTTAAAACTATCGGAATGTGAAAACTATTTCACATTAATCAAAAATTAAAATTTTCCTACCGGTTGATTTAGCAACTCATGATATGTGATATGAAGAGACAGAATTTATTGAGGCTTGTGGTATGTGTAAAAGTAATTTTAATTGCGGCAATACTAATAAATTATTATTGTGTGGTAATTAAGTAATAACGTTTCGATAGATTTGTGATTACCTTAAGATCGTTGGGGAAAATCATGGTGATATTATTCTGATAAACATAGCCCTGTTGCTGTACGGAAAATTTATTTTGCGGTCTCCAACAGGCGATTGTGTTTAGATTCGTTAGCGCGTAAAAAAGAACTCCAGTCTTCGGATCTAGGAAGCTGACGCTGCTCTGGCCATTAGATCCGCGCGAGCCCAGCGTTTGGAATTCGTGAGACGTTTCTAGAATAAACATATGAAATGATTTTAACGTTTCTACAAACGCCTCACATAAAATGTCGGAAAACATTTGTCCTTTGGAAGACGTATAAAATTCTAAACTATACGTTCTTTTTTTTTAAACAAATTCTTTGAAGTTCTTTAAATTGACTCGCTCTTTGTTAAAAAATTGAAATAATTCTCAAATGAACAATTAATGAACCCTTTTTAGTTACTTATTTAAATAATGAAGTTAATTTCAAAGTTCCCTATAAGAATTAATTAAATTCCAGTGGATTGTTGCTTGTTTTTACATGTAATATAAAGACATGACGGGCAATTTCCAAAATTCTTTATATAAATGCGAAAGATCATGAAATAAAGTAAAGACTTTTTTGGCAGTCGAATGATTAATGGTTTATAAGTCTCTTTCACAAGCACATGATATATTTTTTTAAACGTACCCGCAGCACTGGCACGTTGAGTATCGCGTAATAATCTTGTACTAACGGAGAATTCCATGCCACTGGAGAGTGGATGGTAGTACATGATGCTATAACCATCACCAGTTGGTGCGAGAGCCATCCCAAACAGGCCATCATTCCATTGAAACGATATTCCTGACACTTTGAATTCTCCGCCCTGAGAAAGACAGCACGAGCTGTAAAATTTCGCTCAAATGGTCTAGCGTTTATTATGACATATTAAAAATTTTACTTTATTGTATATAAAAAAATTCTTCTTAATTAATCAATTATATGTAAAACTAATAAATTTATTGCTATTACAATTGAAGATTATTAAAATGATTACTATGAAATGGTGTAACTTTGGCTCTCAAACTCTGGCTCAAATTTTGATAATATCCAGACACCATGTCAAAATCGAGACATATCGAAGGAAAATGTAATCAAAAGATGAACACGTATATTCTAAATCACACCGGATTACCATCGGATCCGGGTGGAAAGAGTGGTGCTTGACAAGCCAAGATTTGCGGAGACTCCAGGAGTAGACAACGAGACCCGGGCCGCCAAGATCGCCCAGGTAACCGTACGAGTCCTCACATGAGTAATCCTCAACAGCGATGTTGGCGAACAAGGAATCAGTGGTCCTTTGGTCGGACGGTATCATGTATTTACGCAGCACGCGATCAGTCATCAGGTCGTAGACGATCAACGCCGGCGGCGCCTGCTGCTCAGGGCTACCCAGGATATCCGTCAGTCCTGTGTCCAGGACCCAGAGCCGGTTACAACGATCAGCGCGCACGCGAAATGTCGAAACGATTTCTGGCACGCCGGCGGCGCCATACTGATGAGCCTCCCAGGAAGGATACGGAATTAGAGGTGGTGAATCGTTCGTGCCTGAAAGCCAAACTCTGATACCGACGATGCCAACCCCAGAGGAAAAGAGAAACTCATTGACAATTCTGTTTGTTTTTATTACTCAATTGAAACAGTCCTCTTTGAAATTCTCGCAAGATTATTTTCGGTAATTAATCAGCAGTTGTAGTACGAGAAAATAATTTAACTTGGTCCTAATCTATTTGATCCAAAATATAATTTATTTTCTTATTAATATTTTATTTTCTATCAAGGAAAAATTTTTTTCTCTGATATTTGATAAGAGATTTTTTTTTCTATGAAAATGTTTTATTCTTTATTCTTTAGAGTTTTTTAATCATATTGATCCAAATAATATAATCGTATAGTAAAGTTGAAATGTAGAGTTAACAAACATCAGAAAATTGAAAAGAAGTAATAAGGAATGTTTAAATTTGTTTATGTATATATAAAGAATATTATTGATGTAAATATAATTAAAATATATAATTGAAATTACTAATGAATATCTCTCGAATATATTTGTCTACATTATAAAATTGTAAATATCTTGTCAGACGAGCAATTATTATGCTACTTCTCGAGCTTTTTCCGAATAAGTAATTGTAATTTTGATAATACAAGATAATTACTGTTAAGTTTAATATAATTGAGACTTGCGGCAACCCCTTGTCTCCATCTAGGCACTGTGATGAATAGCCGATCGCCGGCCACTTCCAAACCTAAGGGCAGATTATCCTCCTGCTTGTAATCTGGGAAAAGCCTCTTAATATCATTGCTCGGCCATTCATAATCGATTTGCTTCCATTGGTAGGCTATCTGCAGCTTATCACTAATGGCGATTGCACTGTTCAGCAAGACGACCAGAAGCGCGATTGTAACGATGATCGACGATGTCCGGCACCGCATTGTCATTATTCTGATAAGAATATTATAAGCGATTTACTTTGATATTTTTTCTTAAAAAATTAATATTTTCAATTTGTTTCAAGATTCTTTAATTGAAATTAAATCTGACATTTTAAGATTAAATGTAAAATAATATTTTTAAGTTTATGAGATGAATAGTATTTAATGAATTTAATAATAATTTGGGATTATAGGCTCGTGAGTTTTTAGAATTTGTACATTACTGCGTTATTACTATTTATAATATTTATATTTATTATTTTTGTTGTAAAGGTAAAATTGATTTAAAAATAAGGAGACAAATAATGAAGGAGATAAATTGCGATTGCATTCCGGTTTCTCCTTGAAAGCTGCCGGCCTTCGCGGTACATAGCTACTGAGACTCGTTAATTAATATACACGCATGACTAATTGTTAAGTCACGGAAATGAGGTCTTTCTATCAACGCCCTCGCGTGAAAAATACCGCAAGGCGACAATAAATGATGACAATAGAGGATGAATACTCAATAATGGCGAACGCAAATGTAATGTCTCTTTCTTACACAAAACAAATGCTTAAGATATAAATAAGTTTGCTAAAAAATTTAAATAATTTTAATGTATTTTAATAATATGCAATATAAACGATAGGATATTTTCTGATTTGCCTATCAGATGTATTAAAGATAAAATATCATGTT